AGTTTATATCAAAATAACGATAAATTGTAAAGAATACACACATTCACAGAATTACTCATTTAGACTCCTAACTTCCAAACGACCCGTTATTCCATTTGGGGAGTCCTCAGTCCTTTCCTATCTTTATCCAGAGAAGGAAACTATGGTACTTGGTCCCACGTGTACCTAATACACACACTAAAGTTCTTATTTTGTAAATATTGTGCACTAAACAATAACAAGAGGAATAAAATAAGTAATCCTTTCAAAAAAATTAGTGCGAACTGCGAACATATTATTTAATTGTTACCTAAATATGCACAGAATCTTGCACAGGAGGGCGAGATTCTTGGGTATCAGAAATGAATATATCTTATGTTGCTCTTGCCTAAACGATATACTAAAGTATTTGAGGAATATTCTTTTGGACATCCACGGGAACGGGGGATGAGTAGGATGGATGAACATAGTAAACAAAAAACAATAATGCAACTTGTAATTTTATGATTAAGCATTAAGTGAGCAAATGTTGTAAATAATAAGGAGCCTATTTTGAGTGGGGTTTTGAGGGAATGAACCCCAACTAATCAATGTATTATCCGAAATTCCTAAATCTTCAATTTTGAACCCAAACCTAAAATCCCAAATTGAAAAACCTAAATTGTAATCCTAAATCTTTCAAACAAAAATAAAATCTTCAATTGTTTTTGTGCAAATTCATGTATTTTCGTGTCCATCATATCGCAAATAATGATTGACATTGTTTGAACATGAATCCCTCTGCTTAAATGACGATTATGAAGCAAGTGCATTGTACACACAAAAGAAAGGTGAGTGCAATGGAGACAAAACCTACTATTTTGATGTTTATCAATTAGTAATTTGAAATATATAATGTTTCCGGTGCAAGGAGAAATGAAATCACTACTCATGAATACTTGATAAGTCCGTGCGAGTGGTTTAGATGAGTACAATAGTTTTATTGACGATTATTATTGAGATAACACAGAAGTCATAACTGCCAAGATTCGAACCCAGGATCTTCTGAATGTGAACTTGCAATTTATCAATCTAACCAATTGAAATTCAAAATTAAATCAAATGTATATAAGTTTGACTTCAAATTTTCACAAGTACGTACATATGTGAATTTCAAATACCACTAGATGGTAAATTGAAAGCTAGTATGAAATTTGAATGCTTTTGGAGCCAATTTCATGCTCTTAGATGAGATTGTTGTTCAAGGGTCGAACTAGGCGCCAAGTCTCGATCGCGATTAAGGTTGAGGTTAGGGTAATGTCTGGGAGGTTAAGAACTAGCTAAATTACAATAAAGAATCTATAAATATTTGTACAATTCAATGGATTCCATTAAATTTTAGTAAGTAGTTCAACAAATTGAAGCATAATTTAGTAAAACTCTAGATTTTGAGAACTTATATGGACGATAATGTGAATACAAAGGCTTGAGTTCAAGTCCTTAAGTCTCCTTTCTTAAGGAAAATCTTAAAACCTTCCTATTGGTTGATAGTGGATTAGGTAGTTAATGGGGGTTAGTAGTTAATAGGTAGTTAATGGTAAATGGGGTTATGCAAATATAATTAATTAATGATTCTCTTTCTCTCTCCTCCCATGATTTTCTCCATAACCCTCTCTCTACATTATAATTAAAAAGAAATATGAAATTAATTTTATTTAATATTTAATAAAATCCGAATTTAATGATTTTCTTTTTCTAAAATGGAAATTTGAAATTTAAAATATATGCCTCTCTCATATCTTAGCAACTTCCGATTATTATTAAGTATTAACGTTTTGTAATGACATTATCAATATTTATAAATTGAGTCATCATTAGGGTTTTTCATTGCATGGGTTTGGGATTTTTTGTTCTTAGGTATTCGTTTGTGTTATTATTAATGTTGTTCGACATGTTTTATAGTAATTTTATATGATATTATTAACTTTTTATGTTATGTTTTGTTTGTAACATTAGCAAAAGTGAAATTGTGTTTTCAATTTGTTGGTACTTGAAGTTTATTTACTATTACATCGTATTATCAATTTGGTTCACAATGATTTATAATCATTTGAAGTGCTATTATCAATGTTTTTTTTTTCAAGCACAATACAATCATTAGTAAAGTTTTATTTCATATGTAAGATTGCTTATGTTTAGTGATTTGAATTATTAATATTTTTTCGTTTATGTTTGTAACTTTGCCAAATGTCATTATCAAGAAGCATACTTGTTAGGTATTCGTTTGTTTATGACATTAGCAAAAGTGAATTTACGTTTAATGATATAATTATGGTTATTAATCTTTCAGTCTAAGTTAGTAACGTAGTTGGTGTCATTATTAATAGGTGTGTATAAGCATTATCAATGTTTGAAAAATAAGATATTAATAATATCTAATAAGGTACTTAACAATCACTAGTTGCTAGCATTATCAAAGTTTTTGGATGCATTATCCATTAACCACATGTTACTTATTAATGCGTTTTTAGTGCTATTTGACATTAAATATTGCATCTGAATATTATTAATATTTTTTTATTACAAAAATCTAATTCCTTATCACTGACTTGATCATTCGATATTAATGATTTTTAATATCTTTATTAAAAGTTTGATGTCATTTATAATGTTGAAGTCAGACATTTTTACATTGACGTTTTGTGTTTATTTTCAACGAAGTACTTTTCGTTATCAATGATTTATTGTATTGTTATTAAAAGTTTGGTGTTGGGGCGTGAATGTTAGTTTGCTTGAGCTAATATTTTTCTGGACAATGTTTGTTTGACTGAATCACACAGATGCACTATGTCACAACTATCCAAGATGTTGAAAATCAGTATTGTGCTTTATGATCAATGAGAGTTGATAATGTAAAACAATATTAATTGATCATAAAACATTAATAATGTGATTAGAAATCATTGGAAGAGGCCATGACTAGATAGTTATAAACATGATGTGAAAATGTGAATCATTAGTACTAAAGATGTTGTAAATCAATTATATTGTTATTCAAACTGTTAATGACCATGTTACATAACTTTAATGATTCATTCATAGGCGTTGATGACGAAACTATAAAACAGTAACAATTGATCCAAAATTGTTAATAATGTAATTGTAAGGAATTGATAAGTATATTGAAGTCATTAATAATGATGAGGTATAATAATAATGATTCATTTCATAAATGTTGATAATGCCATTGCAAAATGTTAATATTGTATTGCAAGTTGCCACGAAGTGAGAGAGCATATATTTTTAATTTCAATTTTCATTTTTAAAAATAAAAAAAAATTAAGTTCGAATTTATTAAATATTAAACAATAATATTTAATTAAATTAATTTCGAATTTCTTTTTAATTGTACTGGAGAGAGAGGGTTATGAAGAAAATCAAGGAGGAGAGAGAAAGAGAATCATTAATGAGTAATACTAATTATATTTTCATAATATCTTATTTATTCCAACTAACTATTAACTACTAACCCCTAATTAACTACCTAATCTAGTATCAGCCAATAAAAATGGTTTAAGAACCTCCTTAAACAATGAGGCTTAAGAACCTCCTTAAAAATGGTTTTCGAATTTCTCATTGTGAAAAGTATTAGACAAATTCATGAAATTTACTATGACAAAATCTTCGGTTTAGTCACCATGATCAAACTCAATATTGCCCCACTAGCTAGCCATTGTTGTGTACCAATTGTCATGACTACGAGATTTGGTAAATGAATATCAAAATCATCTCACATATTGTAGCTCCAATGAGTCAAAGTAAGATATGCAAGTTGCAAGCATTCACTTAAGGAATGAAACAAGTCTTCTATGGAGTTAGATTAACATGTTTGGAGGTTGGGATTCTCCAAATAAATGTATTTAATCAATTTGTGTATTATCATTTGATGTATTGATTCAATGCATGAATTAGAAAAATACATTGTTTGGAGAATCAATGATGGAACAAAAAATGAAGTAGACAATCCTCTATTAACAATCTCACATTTTGGTAGAGATTGATAATCATTCATTTTGAGTGATTGTTGGTGGGCCCAGGAAAAAGGTAATACATGCATTCTAACTCAAACTGAACCAAAAAAACGACTTAATCTTACCATTGCATGTATTGGTTAAATACCTCACTTGAAATCCCAACCTCCAAACGACAAGTTACAAACCAATACACAATTACTCTTCACTTATCTGCTAGATTTCAAATTTAATTAATCCATAATTGAGTTTTACTTTCATCTAGAATAAAGAAGCATGCTTGTATTTTATACAAGAGTTGGTGTTAGTAGTGTTCTTTCAGCTCGTACTATATTTGGATAACGTATTATAAATTATGAAAGATATTCTCATGCTTAATTCTCTCTTAGAAGACTACGAAAATGTTTCTTAAGGATTTAGGCGTCATCGCCTACATGCCGAACATAAGATGTATGTTTTTGAGGACATTATCGATATGGTGAGAGCGATCAATATCATCATCCTTATCGTAAGAAAGTAATCCTTATTAGATTAATGATTCATAGTAAGAGTAAGATGAGATAACATAATATCCTCATTGGATTAGCCATAATTCAAAATCTAACTTGGTGATAAATGGTGATGCAAACACTTTATGTTTACATAGATGAAGGAACTCGACTTGATCACAATTAGGTAGGCCACCATATATAGGTACACGGTGGTCATGTTAGATCGGTGATGAAATGTTTCGTTTACAAACGATGAAGTCAAGCCGATGTTAAGTTTTTGAGAGAAGTATTTTCCTGTGTTTGATTTCTATTGAATTGTAATATACAACTTTGTAAACTACCAGGATACAATACCATAACTTCTTGTTAGGTGCACAACACTTTGCTCACCAGAGTTGTTTTTGCCAAGTTTTTTCATGATAGTTTTCCGTGTATATATTCGGTATTGCTTGGCCAAAGTATTGACGGACAAGAAAAGAAACCCGGGCAATCATTTCCTATCTTAAGCAAAGTTATCTTGAAGTAAGAAGAAAGATTTGCCAATTAATTTATTCTTAACCACTATCCAACGTTTATAATTCAACTGTCATTATCTTCTAATGTAAACGAATTTCCCAAATCCATCGCTTGTTTATGTCTATCGACTATCTATCTACTCCGTCACAAAATAATACACGCACGCACCACGCCCTTCTTCTTTCCTCTATCGGGCATATGATCGTACAAAAATTTTACACTATGCGACCAAAAAAAAAAAAGCATTAGATTCCCGGCGAGCTAGTGGCCGTGCGAGTGGACGAACACGTGCTCGGTGAACACGGGTGATGAGGTCCTCCGCCTTCACTCCGGCTGCTGCCTCTTCCTTCCGACTGCAGCTGCTCCGTACTGCTAGCCTGCTGCTTTTGAGCACCCACCGTCGTCGCCACCGGCGCATAAATAGATCCACCCTGACCCGCCGCCGCCGGAATGTTGGCCGTTTCTCCAACTGCTGTCGTGGCCGCCGCCGCGTATTCCGCCGACGGTGGCACCCATATCCCGCCGACGACCACGAACTGTGGGCCCGGCTGGTTGCTGGTATTCTGCACGCCGTGGCTCGGCCGCCTTGTGTGCAAACGATATTTCTGCCACCGTAAAAAAAAAAGGGACATCAGATTCCGCGGCCAGATTGCCGGTTACGTGACCTTTCCGCAACCATCAACTCTCTTTTTCGAACTTAGGATATGCTCTAATAAAGGAAAAGATCTCGAAATCCCAATAATTAATAAAGTTATATCAAACCTAATGCTTAATTATTGGCTGATTACTGATTAGTGCCCTTTATTAATTATCATTCCTCATTTCTCCGCGTTTTCCCACCCTCAAGCGGCCGGTCGGGGATCGGAATTGAATGAGCAAACTAACCTGCAAATGGCTCTTAACTTCGTCATTAGTGAGCCCATCCACCTTCATTAGCTCCCTAATTTGCTTCGGTGTCGCAGCTGTTGAATTGAACCACAAACGATAATTAATGAGATCGTAATTGTAATAATGGCAATGAGAGAGACTAATTGCGGATCATCATTTAACCCGACCGGGACCGGCTCGGTTTCGATTCAGTGGGTTACTAACCGTGTGAACCGCCGAGCTGTTGGAGCGCGTGAAGGAATCTTCTGTGAAGTTCTGGAGACCAGCACCGCCTTTGCTTTCTCTGCTGCGCCTGCGCTTCTTTGTTATCCACATCCTTTTGTTGTTGTTGTTTGTTGCTATTCTTATTGCTGACGCTGGGGTCGCCGTCGCCGCCGCCGCTGGTCCCCGCCGCGGCCGCGCTGGAACTCAGGACCGAGGATGGAGTAGTCGCAGCAGCGGTAGCGACGGCGGTGGTCTTGTCATGATTACCACCACCGCAACCACCGTTGCTCTTCCCAACGCCGCCGCCGCTATTTTTCTCCTTTTGGAATGGCTGGAATGCGCCTCCTGATCCGCTTCTCTTCACCTCTTTCACTACCGCTCTCCTCGGCACCTCCTAAAAATAAGTAAAAAAAAATTAAATTAATCCTTCTTTCTTTCTTCACAGTCTCCTAATTATTTCTCTGGAGATTTTCCGAGCAGCCAAACAGTAATCGCAAGAGGTAGAAAATTGATTTAGCCTAGGTTACCTCATTTGGGGGCGGTGGATCTGGGGACTGGTTCCACAATTGAACAGATCTAAGCCATTCTGATTTCTTGTTACCACTACTGCTCTTATGATCTTCCGTTTCCTGATTTTCGCTCCGGTTCCGTTTCAGTGACCTCTCGTCGCCGACGCTGCCAATATCCTGAATTTCGTGATCTTCTTCATCGTGGCGGTGGGTATTATGATGATTTTCATTCTCATTTTCGTCGTCGTCGCAGCTGGAGGAGTTGTTGTGGGGCTTAATAGGGATGAATTCTTCCAGCACCGGGCCTCCGCCGCTGGAGGTTTGCTCCGAGCAGTCGGATTGACCGGGCATGGTGGTGGTGTACTCCGTCGGCGTCGAACCAGACAGCTCCCTCCGACATGCCTCGATCGCTGCGGAATCACGCATCAAACAATTAAATCCAAGCGAAGGAAAAAGGTGAGTAGCAGATGGTGGTTTTGAATTAGATTGGGGGAAGCAGACCTTGGGTGACGAGCTCGAGACAGAGGGGGAGTTCACGCTGGAAAACCTGGATTTTCCGGCGCTCTTCCTCCAAGGCGTCGACGTACTCGTGGCAGCGCTTCCTTTGATCGGGGAAATCCATCCCACTTCGAATTTGCCTTGTTAGTTTGTTGGCAGTCTGGTTGCAGAAAGGAGGGATGAGTTAAATACGGAGATTAGAGAAGAAGAAGAAGAAGAGGAGCATAGGAGGATCCGAATCCAGAGGGGGAGAGAGAGGAATCGGGGGAGGGGAATATGAAGAAGACGAAGGGAGAGAGGAAGGAGAAGGATAATAATAAAAAGGGGATCTAATGGAGAATCGGAAGGGAATAAACTTTGTGGCAACGAATAGCCCCACCAGGCATAAAATTAAATTTTAAAAAAAAAGGAACGAGGAGGAAGAAGGTTTGGTGGTGGAGGAGGAGGCCGGACGGACGGACGGACGGAGGAGGGATTCGGATTTTGAAGGATACGGCGGATTGATGACTGGCGTGGCGACGGAGAGAGAGAAAGCAAGAGTGACGGAAGGGACGGGAGGAGAAATGAGGAAAACAGACAGAGAGAGTGGAGGAGAAGGAGAGGGGAAAGGGAGGGATTCCGAAGTCGGGGCGTCGCGTACACATGGGGAATCTTTTTTTCCTTCTTTTGATAGTTGGTTTCGGGAGTGGGCTGCCAGCTGGCGGTTCTTCCTAACCTTGTGTTCGGTTTATGATTTATTCGCTGCCGTTTTGGCTTGTTTTTGTTCAATTTTAATTTTTATAATAAATGAATAAAACGGGAAGGGCGGAGATGGAATATTCGAGGGAGGGATTCGTTTTTCGTCGGCTTGCGGGTTTGCTTTTTCCCGGCCCCGTTTCTAGCTTATTCTTTCTTGCCCCTTCTGACTCTCCGTCCATATCCCTTCTCTTCGCGATTGAATCGACCAAACGGATATGTATTGGGCCGATTATGAATGGGGCTTATATATATTCATTCCCCTTGCGTCGGTCTCTCATGGGCCCAGCTGTGTGTAATAACGTCAAACATGTTGGGCTTTCTCTTTATGCAAAGTGTGGCCCATCTCAATTTTATTGGCCCACGCTTCTAAGCATCCAGTCCAGGCGGACATGGCAAATCTACATCTACATCTTCTACACATTATAATACACCGAAGGGAAAAATGGGATCCCCATTTCAAATTTCCTGCAACGAGAGTGAAAGTAGGAAGGACATTTTAGTCTTCACAATTACTTTTTTTTTTATTCATTAAAAAGACACGTACTAGGATTCGAACCATGAGCATTTTAAGGAAAAACAACGATCATAACCAATCACACTAAGTACATTTGTTGTATCTTTTTAAATTAAAAATATATAATAGCAGGGAGGAAAAAACTCTTCCCCCATTTCAAATTCCCTGCTCCAGGAGCGTTTGTAGGAAGGGTAGAATATGGAGTGTCAATTTTTTTCTCTTTTCTCTGTGGAACGGGCCAACTTACCGTACACATGCGGATTTAAACGGGTCCAGAAGTGTCAATTTTTTCTTTAAGCTCTTTTATTTCTCCGTGGTGATAAAAATATATATGAAAAGACAAAAACAATACTCCTTTTTATTGCTAAAAATAAAAAATTTAACAATAAACTAATGCATGGTATCTAATTGGCTAACCGCTAAGCATAAAATAAAAGAGTTGAATGGGCCTGACCTACACGAGATTTGGTCATCAAGTAAAACAAATGAACATCATTGGTTTGCCATTCTTAAAGCGTTTGTAGGAAGGGTAGAATAGGGAGTGTCAATTTTTTTCTCTTTCCTATGTGGAACGGGCCAACTTACCGTACACATGCCGATTTAAACGGGTCCAGGAGTGTCAATTTTTTTCTTTAATCCCTTTTATTTCTCCGTGGTGATAAAATATATATGAAAAGGCAAAAACAATACTTTTTTTATTGCTAAAAATTAAAAATTTAACAAAAACTAATGCATGGTATCTAATGGGCTAACCGCTAACCATAAAATAAAAGAGTTGAATGGGTCTGGCCTACACGGGATTTGGCCATCAAGTAAAACAAATGAACATCATTGGTTTGTCATTCTAAAACAAACTATTTTCTCTGACATAATATATATTATGCTATTATTTTATACTTTAGTGGCTAAAATATAATCTATTTTAAAGTTATTCAATGGTTCAACCTCGACCAACCCAATTAGTCCAATTTTTATCATTTCAAATATATATTATATAATTATTTGACATCATAATGATCAAATTATAGTGTATTTTATAGGGGAATCGTTTGGTATTTGTTAGTAAAAAACTAAACATAAAAATCTATTTGGTTATTTTAAACATTAAAACGATCCTAAACATTTTCATTTCCTTTTGAATTTCTATGGTTTTATTCCCGAATAAGTTATGTGCTAATGGCGAATTGTAGTCGTCTCTTTTCTTTCACTATTTTTTATTTTCAAATAGAAAGTTTAAAAGTAAAGAATAATTAAAATTTGGCATGGGCCGGTCAAACAGGCTGAATTTCAAGTTTTGGCCCGTTTGTTTTATGCATTGCAAATTTATTAGCATGTTGATGGAAATGGCTTGGAAAAAAGACATATAAGTTGTACCTTTGTAGAAATGTCCTCAAATATTTGAATGCTTTGTGAATCAGGTTCCGTGACTTTTGTGATGGTGTATGTGCTTGACAATTGCTCGATGTTGTAACTACTTAATTTGAGAGTAAATCTTTTGATTTTCCCTATGAGTTGTGATACTAGTTCTGTGGTTGCAGCATGTTGTCGTTGTTGGCCTATAAAAGTTGTTCCGCCGTGATGCTAAATACCTTTCATTCCTTTTTAACAAATTGTGTAGTAGTGCTATGAAACAGACCACCCATGAACGCTACGCTTATTATGGTCTGTTCTTACTTTCGGTGGTGAGAAATTGTGAATTGAGAATCATATTCGCCTACCGCACTGTGTCTGGGTGGTGGCTGCTTACTTTGCTCTCTAGAGTTATGAAACAGACTACCCATGAACGTTACCCTTAAGAGTCCATAACTTTGCGAAAAACCAAATTTAGACAATCAAAGGTGGTGGATGTGTGATGATTTTTTATGGCTTAATTGTTTGTGAATTGGATATCTGATCTTTGTATGATTAGAGGGGATGTTTGCTTAATAGAATAATCCATTTTAATTCATGTTTATTTTTAACATGAACTTTAGTAACTCAAAACCTTCGAGACACATATCACCTACTGCATTGTATCATTTTTCCTGGGTGCTTGCTTTGTTGTCAAACTTCTTTGCTGCTGCTGCTGCATTTACACTAACAGGGGAGTTAAGAACCCATGAATGTTTCCGTTTGACACAAACAAGTGGACTTACTTCTAAATCGTGCACTAAAGATGATTGGAGGAAACATCTCTGTTGCAGTTGATATACTGGAGACCATAACAAAAGCAACGTATAACATCAAAACCAACCATCTGAACTATTAGCATTGTTGCTTTACTCTTTTTTTCGTGGTTGAGTCTCCTTCAAAAAATTTGGTTTGATTTTAGAAAATTTTGCTTCTGCAGTCCTGTCTTGCCACCAACGAGTTCAGTACATGGAGATGGCAGAGGCAAAGGCTATTTTTGTGTTGTTGTTGCTGGTTTAGGGATCGGTTTGTGAAGAAGAGGGAGAAGAGAGGGGGAAAAGGAAATGCAGGAGAGGGGGATAACTCTTTTCTCCGACAAAAATGGAGTGAAGAAAGAAATTATGATCAGTAAGGATATGGTTATCTTACATAACAGTCTCTATTCTGTTTGAATTGAGCTTGGGAGGCAGTGATAAGGACGAGCTGCAACCAATTCATAGTGATAAGAGTGCTATGAACTGTGATCATGTCTTATTTCAAGTTAGAAGGTAGTTTCAGTATAAGGATTATTTAATTTGACAAGTTGTTTCGTCCATGATTCTTGGTAGTTTCAGTGCCATTCTAGCCATTTTTAGTCTGTAATTTTTGAGAATTGATGTGCGAGTAATGACTTTCACTTAGCTTCAACTATTATGTGTGTATTTATTGGCATGTGATAGAATTCTCTTTTCCTTTTCTTTGAATTCAGTTTCATACTCTAATTGTATCATTTGTACATAGGCAAATCATGCTCGAGATGACAACTCGCTGATATGGCTGGTACAAGGAATGAAGCCATCATTAGAATTCAGACCGACAATGGGGAGGGATGCCCAGGACTAATTCAATGATGATTGATGATGGTATAATAAAAACTGCAGTCTGCATCAGCACCAATTTCTAGGCCTAAGTAAAGTTATTCAACCCAGAACTCTGCTTAGCGCTAAAAATTGCCCTCACCCAACCTTGATCCTGTTTTACCCACTTCTGAAGAGTCAAGATATATGACTAATCCTCTCCGTTCGTATTTTCTTATTGACTCATTTTGACCCTCTAGGTTGGGGCGGGTCGGGAAGAATCGGATTAGTGGGTCGGCCCTAATCAAGTGGAATCCCAATCCCTTCACTCTCAATTGTTTTCTCTCCCATTCCACAAGTGGGTAACATACAGTAATCCGGCCAACGGGCCGGGTAATAAGCTAGTGCAAATATGAGAGTCATGTAGAAGATATTGATGTGCAAAGTCTTTCCATATTCATTCAACCAAAAGCACAAAGTGGATAATCTTCCAATTATAAACCAATTGTACTAATTGACTTGGTTAATCCCCTATCGGTAGTATTTGAAATTTGTTTTGGAACATGTATTGTATGACTTCCTGCTTTCTACTTTGATAATTTGTAAACATGTATTGTATGTTTGAACTACGGTTAAATCATAATGTCTGTACAAAATATCCTACCATGATGTTTTGAAAATGTATCGAATAGACAATACTATTTTGGTGTAAGGGAATGAAGAATTAATAGTAGATGGATAGAAAAAATGGAAGGTGATAGAAACCGTAAAACTGCGGGATGAAATACTAGGATGTCATTTGAGAAAAACTTAGGGGTTGCGACATGAGGAAGATACGTGTACTTTTATTTTATATTTTATAAATAAATGTTAAAATACAAGGAGAATTTATATAATTTTAGGTATGAAATTGGTAACAAATTGTTTGAATGAGCTATTAAAATTTGCTATTTCTTCTATATCTAGATGTGTATATCGAATTAAAAAAAAGAGGTGTTGTAGCATTTGATCTGGATGTATATATTTTTCTAAAATTTGGTATTATATTTAATAATTTTTAAATATGATAATATATTAATATTTTATTAACGTTAGAGTATAAGATTTCCGAAAATAGATGGTGCAGCAGGTTCACACTTGGTTGGGGTATAGTTGTACAAGACAGAACGAGTAGTGTGATTTTTTGTCCAGGGCTTTCGATATGCATGTATCCTAAATCCTCATCTAGCTGAACTGA